AGGAAGGGGCAGCCCCCGCACCGGAAGGCGTCGCCCTTGTAGCAGTTCCCGCAAGAGGACACCGAGGCCTCGAGCTCCTCCTCGCTCATCACGGGCAGGGCCACCCCGCCCCGCCCCTCCTCCTGCTCGGCGCGTCCACAGCTGCAGTTCTTGCACGCGCGTTTTTTCGTCTCGCATCCCTGCCCCTGCTCCCGCTCCGCCCTCTTCGCCGCCAGACCCGCCATCACCTCGGCGTCCTCAAGCAGCGAGTCGGGGTCAATCAGCTCTCCCTCCGCCCCTCCCTCTTCCCCTCCCTCCCCGTCCACGTCTGTCAGCCTCCACGTTGCCGCTGACTGCCCCGTGGAAGAGGAGGAGGAGGAGCTAGCGGGGCGGGGGAGGGAGACAGGGAGGGACACCGAGGCCGCCGCCCCGACCTCCCACTGCGGCTTGTGGGCGATAAGGCTCGCGCTACTCGAGGCGGAGGCCGGTAACACCTCAACGTCCACAAAACCAGCCAGTAGGAGCTGCATTTTCATGCCTGCGCACGTCTCTTCTTTTCCTCCCTTCGCCTCCCCGTCACCGGCGTCGCTACTGCAGAGCTTGACAACCAGCTCTCCCTCTGGGGCCAGAGCCTCGAAACAAGCCTTCAGGGCTGCCTCGGTCCCAGGAGAGGCGGCATCTGCCACGGTGGAAAGAAACACGATGACCTGTACGTTATACAGGAGGCAGCGTGAGACATGAGGATAGGGCGAACGTCCTAAATTAAGCGGGTACTACAATCAAACGAAATACCAAATTGAAGTCTTCGTACGTCCATTAAAAATCGTGCCATGCATTTTCAGCGGATTGCTCGTCAGCCCTCTTATTTTCGAATGACATTGACAAATATGACCTTTTATTTTCATCACCCGGACCTGTTGCAAGCGGTGTCGCCTACCATGTGGCAGAAAAAGGATACTTCTAAAAGGAGTCACCTCCTCATCCCGCGCGTACCTTCTTGACCAGTTCAGTGGTATTGGGCGTAAAAGATATCAACGACTGAACATGGCTATAACTATTTATTTCCTTGGATAGGTCGGACGCTTTGGTTTCGAGGGCGCTGTGGTCGTAAAGGATGATGGTGCTGCCGCTCATGCTCGAGACGTCCGTCGTTTCGCTTGCCCTGTCTGTCGCCACTGAAAAGCGTCTATGTGACGTGAACGAATCATAAAGAGCAAACTTTAGACGGCACTTTGCTAAAAAGAAGTGTGATGCAAGACCTTCAACGCCTCTAAAGGCAACAGTACGCTTTCTGCGCCCGGCAGGGACCAGCCCTGTCGCGCGGCGCCCGTGATGTTTCTCGTCCCTGAGCCGTTACTCACAGCTCACCGTGATGTTTCTCGTCCCTCAGCCATCACAATATTACCCCCCGTAATGTTTCTCGTCCCTCAGCCGGCACTTTTTTAATCCCCGTGACGTTTCTCGTCTCTCAGCCGTCACTATGTCAGTCCCCCCTTGCGTGATGTTTCTCGTTAAACTTTACCCTGCTAGGGATGACCAATGGGGGTCACCCATCAGTGGTAAGCTTCTGTTTATGAATGACGCTTGAGCTGGAGAGGGTGACCCAACACAAATATGTGGGCCCTTTGTGGCGAAAACAAGGCGATTTCAGGCCTGGGAACGCGGCAAAGGGGAGAAAAAGGGGGAAAGAAAGGAAAATAAGAGGGGGAAGAAAAGGAGACAGAATGAGGAAGAGGGTCGTCGCTCTCGATCGCTCATTTTGTGCCCTCGCCTGCTTGCTTCGCCGTCATTTGGAAGTGCGCTTTTCTGATTATTGATCTGATTGAAGCCATGCAATTCATTCAAGCAACGATTTTATTTTCTATCCGGTTTTTCCAAAAACCACACAAGCAGCCGGCCATGACTTCATGTTGGGACCAGGACGAGGCGTCGGTCGCGGTCGTCACCTGCAATCGTCACGCGCGACGATGATGCTGCGGCGGCAGAGGAAGAGGACATATTCGAAATGGACGAGGCCGCCGCAAATGGCAGCACCAGCAAGAAGAGCGGGAGGTCGGAAGGGACAAAGTTCGAGCTCTGCGGGAGAACCGGGGGCTCCAGGTCTTGGAGCGAAGATCGTCCGCCTCACCTCCGCTTATATCTCTGTGAACCAACGGTGCGTTCTGTGTGAAACTGTGTGGGTTCGATGGATTGGATCATTCGTAAAAAGACCTCGAAAGAACAAAGACCTATCTTAACAACAAATTACACACATACATACAGACATGAATCATCACACAGGCCCCTGGAAAAAGCACTTCAAGAATGCTATTCGAGGAGCTGTCGAGTGGAAAGATGGTCTGTCTCTGTGTGGACACGCCGGGGAAGGAGATACAAAGCCTTGCCCAAAAAATACGAAACGGCAAAAAGCGAGAGATCGACAACACTCAGCCGGGTACACGGTGCCTGAGCGCCGACGGCTGGACAGCTAGGTGAGCGGGTAGGATGGTGTACATACAGAAGGTGTTATTGCCGCTCGGCATGAGAAGCCATACATCTTTAACATTTCCACCCTCACCTCCACAACCCATCAGGAAGTAGCTGCAGCGGATGGGCATGATTCTGCGATATCTCGACAAAGACACGTTAGAGCGACGGAGAGTTGTGCTCGCCTGCAAATTCTGGGAAAAGGCGCTAGATGTGGAGGGGACGGCTGTCATGGTGAAAGAGGTTCTGGCAGACTGGGGCATCGAGGTGACGCAGATCGACATGGAGTGCACAGACAACGCCTCCGTCATGATCTCCTGCATCGATAACCACTTCAAGGGATGGAAACGGCTCGCCTGCAACCCCCACACGCAGCAGCTCTCGGTCAACGACGTGCTGGTGGGCTCCTACACGAAGGAGTGCGTGCCAGTGGAGAGTGGCGCCCAGACCGAGTCATTTAAACGCCAGGTCTGGGCGGGGAAAGGGCCTGAGGAGGTAGCGCTGCTCTTCCGCCGCGTCCGCTACTAGTGAACTACCACGCCAACAGACCGAACAGCAAGCTGTTCCTGCACTGCTGCAACAAGGCGGTTAGGACCGGGGCCGAAGAGACGCGCTGGACTGAGCTGTATCTATGGGCGAGCGCGTGCACGAGCAGCGGGTGTATCTGGTACAGTTTCGAGATGCGCACCTGAGCGTAAAGCAGTGCTGCCTGACGCCGCAGGAGCACCAGCTGCAGGTGCAGCTGCTGGCGGTGCTGGAGCCCTTCAAGGAGGCCATGGACGTATTCCAGACTACGCACTCGGTCGTCATCTCCAAGCCTTACCCCATCCTTCTCCAAGTTTACAGCGACCTGACCAGCGACGCGGCAATACTCGTCATCCCCGGGGCCAAGGAGGGCATCGCAGCATCAGAGCTCCTGCCGCTGGTAAATGAGCAGCGGATGCGCCTCGCCACCAGCCTCCAGGCGCGGTGGCTCGGCGTGAACAAGGGTGAGGCTGTCGAGGACTTTACTATCTACGGCTCCGCTGCCTACTTAGACCCGCGGAACATTGCGGTGCAGCTTCTCTTCCACCTACGGCTAGAGGACGGCACCATCTTATTACACCACATGCACCAGGCAGTGAATCGCCTGGTGAGAGGGCGCATGGAGGACGTCATCGCCTTCCTGGAGCGCGAGGCCGCTCGCACCCCCACGGCCCCGTGGACGACGCGAGCTTTAATACACTACCGCAAGGAGAGGGCAGCGGTGGCGCAGCATCACAAGCAGGAGGAGAAGCACCACACGCAGGGGCAGGAGGGTGTCGATGGCGTGTCACCTCCCACGAAGCGTTTGAAGAGCTGGTGGGCCTCCTTGCAGGCGGAGCTCCTCCGTGAATGCGGTAGGGCCGTGGGGGTCGGCGAAGGTGGCGGCGTGGGCGAGGGCCGGCCCAAGCAGTACATCACTGAGATAGTGGCGACGCAGCTCTTCAAGGAAGACTTGGTCGCGTATGGCCAATTCTGGAAGCCGGAGTGTATCGCCGTGCACGGGCTGCCGATGGAGAAGGAGGAGTGCCCTCTCGTGTCGTTTTGGGGGTTGATGAAAAACAGAGAGAGCATGCCTGTCTTATGCTTCCTCGCCCACGTGATACTATCCCTGCAACCCTCCTCCGCCGATACCGAGCACCTCTTTTCCGACAGCAGTTTGACTTTGAGTGAGCGCCGCCAGTCCTTGGATGCGCAGCGACTGGATGATTTGGTGGTTGTGAAGGAGAACTGGGACTACTTCCACCTCAAGTTCACCAAAGAGAAGGAGGAGAATAAGAGGAAGATGAGGGTAGACCACAACAAAAACATTGGAAAGGGGATGAAAAAAGCGCTCGCGGTCATGAATCAGCAGAAGGTGTTGCTTCAGAAGAAAATTTACGACTGTTGACATTAAAGAGACAGAAGAGCAGAGCGAAAGACTTTGTTTACGTAACTTATATAAACTTTATTCATATATTGCCCAGATGCCCGATTTGTGTGTCGGAAAAAGCTTTTTCATACTCTAAAATGTTCACCTGAGGCTACGCCCTTCCTTCGAACCCCCTCACTTTGGTGCCGCGCTTGGGTGCGGCGAAAGTTTTACGCCGCAGGGGTCCGACAGGCCGAGTCTCATGCATGAGTCATTACTGTTCATCGATTTCTTGGCCGCCATTCATAAATAACCAAATATTAGTGAGGGTGACGGCCCTGAGTTCATCGTCTACGCAGCCGTTACGCTATGACTCCCTTGATGTTTCTCGTCCCACAGCCGTTACGGTAACGGCCGTCTCTCGTTACCCCGCCGGGAGAGCCCTAGGGCTTTCGCAACCAGGAAGCGTTTAAAAACTGGAAGATCGCTTCACGTTCAAGCTATTGTCCAAATGTATCGGCACATACTTTAGAAGTCTCTTGTCTTTTTTTCGTTGGCACTTGGCACTTTGCGTTCCTCTCGTTTCTATTCATTGAAGACTTCTAATTGAGACCACTTGGCATATCTCCTCCCATTCCCGAACCGGCGCGCCGCTTCGCCGTCATGCTCGCACTTGTATTTGTCTACGGGTGAAAGATCGCCTTTCTCGCCGCACATGTCCACACAGCCCAAACAAAATCTATGATCTCTAACAGATCGATCAACGCACTTTCCATTCGCTTTCCGTCCTACATAAACAGGTCTACTTTGAATAGCCGTTGGTTTCTTTCTTTTCTCGTTGCGCAAAGAACACTCCTTGGCGACTTTCCATTCTTTCACTACACCATGATCTCGTCCCTATACCTACCTGGAGGGCGAAAGGACGACGAGGTCGCTGGGGCTTACGATGTTAATTTGGGCGGCATTCCAGGGGCCGGCGACCCCCTCCAAACCCACTATTCTACATTCCATCACCACATGCCGCGAGACGCCTACACTCAACCTCAATACACCTCGCACCCCTTTGAGGTGGACGGAGGATTCTGCGTGGCGATGGACAAGGACGTGAGCGGTACCAAGGAGGAGGACACCTACATGTACTCGACGACAGGGCAGCGTTCTTTTCAGCCAGACTTCGCCGCCGCGCCCGCGTCCTCCACATTTCCTTGCTCCCTCTCCTTCTCCACACAGACGGTGCCGCAATCGGCCTCCCACCCGTCTCCCATGGACCTTTCTGGTGAGCAGCAACAATCGCGGCGGCAGGGCGGACGGAGCGACGGGGGCCGACCGTCCCCGCTGGGTCTCCCGGACACGGATGAAGACACCGATACAGCCGCTGGGAGCGTGGAAGGGCCCATCCTGGAGGTGTTAGGCAAGTCGATTCCCATTCCTAAAAACTACACAGCCCCCAAGAAGCCCCGGAAACAGCCGGTGGCGTCAGTCAAGTGGACCGCCGAGGAGGACGAGCGCCTGCGTGAGGTGGTCGCTGCACAAGGGGCCAAAAACTGGCGTCGCGTGGCGGAGATACTGGACTGCCCTGGCCGCACGGACGTTTCGTGCCAACACCGGTGGAATAAAGTGCTGCGGCCGGGCCTGAAGCGTGGCGCGTGGACGGAGGAGGAGGACGCGGTGGTGAAGAAGATGGTGATGGCGACGGGTCTGGAGGAGATCCGGTGGTCGGTCGTGGCGGACGCCTGCCCCGGGCGCATGGGGAAGCAGTGCCGCGAGCGCTGGTTCAACCACTTGGACCCGGACATCAACCGGGCGGAGTGGAGTCCCGAGGAGGACAGGATTCTCTACGAGACGCACCTGGTCTTCGGAAACCGGTGGACCGAGATCGCCAAATTCGTCCCAGGGCGGACGGAGAATGCGGTCAAGAACCGGTGAGGGAGGAAGGGAGCGAGGGAGCGAGGGAGGAAAAGGCGTGGTCTTGGGCCCTGTCTGAGCGCTCCTTCCTGCGTCGTTCCTGTGGTGCGGCAGGGCTTCGGCGCCGTCGATCCACTCGCGCAACGCTCTCACACTTCTCCCTCCCTCCTCCCCTCCCTCCTCCCCGCC